GCGGGGTGTCAGACGGTCCGTCTTCGGCCAAGATGGCTCCAACTGGGCGTTTGGTGCTCCAAGATAGCGTCAAACAAATCGAGATGGCTCAAAATAGCCGGCAACTGTTCAATATAGCTTCTGCCGTGCCTCCAAGACGCCCGACGACGGCCACAAAACGATTCCATGTGCTCTTGGAACCCTCCTCGGGGCCCCGCCCCCCCCCAAAATCCCCAAACCCTACATTGTGTTACACATCGATAGTTTGTGGCTTCTCGCCTATTGTCTTCCGATGGGTTTCTGAAACCTCTATCTGGCCCCAACCTTGTCCAAGAGATCTACAATCAAGGGCCCAATGCGCCCCCCTAACGCGGCCCCCAAACCGCCCACGATCGGCCCACGACCGCTCCAAACTGTGATGATGATGATGGCCCCACAATGCGGAGGCAAGATGGCTCCAAGAGGCCTTGCAAGGTCTGGACGACGGTCCCGGAAAAACGTCACGAAGGCCCCAAACCACCTTGACGGAACCCAATGAGGACCCCAAGGCCGTCCGAAACAGCACCACGAGGACCCAAAGCAAAGAGCGGGAGCCCTGTGACTGAATCGCGGGGAGAGTTCGAGCGGGAACCCTTCCCCATGGCCCTATGGGGGCTCGCGTTTGATGTGAGCAACTCGAGGCGGTCATCGGAAAACGTATTAATGTCGTCACCTTTTGACTCTTGGTGCCCAAAACTTGAGGATGTCTCGAGCAGGAGCCTCGTTCGTGAGTAAATCGAAAGGACATTCGAAACGGGAGCCCCTCCCATCCTTTATGGGGCCCGCGCGTCATTTTAGTGATCCGATGCTGCCGTTGGGCAAAATGTAACTGACGTCACTTTTGGGCTACAGATGCTTGCGTCGAGTCTTGGGGAAGCCCCTGGCGGGAGCCCCGTCTGTGAAAGAATCGCGGGGAAGTCTCGGACGGGATCCCCTCCCACTGGGGTCCACGCTTCACGTCAGTAATCTGAGGCTGCCATCGGAATTCAAACGTTGTCGCGATGTGGCCGTCGGAGAACGCCACTGCCAGCCGAGGCGGCGACGGTGCCAAGGAAGTTCGACGCGCACCCTTGCAACAGGGACCGGGGGGGAGATGGACGAAAGAAAAGAGAAACAAGACGAGGAGGAGGAGGAGGAGGAGGAGGAGGAGGAGGAGGAGGCGGATCAGGGGGCGAACGAGAGAAGGGCGAACAAGACAATGGCGAATAAGAGGAGGCCCACGCATTACGCAAGACGGCCCGAAATGCCTCCAAGAGGGCCCGGAGACGGCACAAGAGGCTCTCGAGATGACTCGATACTCCTCCCTCCCGAAGGACCCAAACGGCCCAAAATATGACCGAAGAGACTTCCAAATAGGCCTTCGAAGGCCTTAAGGAGGCCCCAAGGCCCCGAACGAGCCCGAAGCAACCCGCAACTGGCACCCAAGTAGGTCCCACGTGTTCCCCCGATGGTTCCCTGACATCTCGGGGAACATCCCGACCATTAGCATTGCAACGCTGACGCTCAACATTCCACCAAACATGCGTGTCCAAAGGCAAAATGCGACACTCGCCAAACATGTCTTCGGCAAAACGGCAAACAACGTCGGACGAACATACTCGCACTATCCGGAATAAAAAATAACGATCCCAATCCGAGCGAATATGTCACAATCGTTGGAAATGCCCTGGGTATGCATCCTGAGACATGGTTATCTGTTTTTCTCTGCCGTGCATGCTCTTAGAATACAAGCACAATAACAACTCTGGGTGCATCTGGCGCACCCCGCGATCCCTTGAAAAACAAGTTGCGAACATGTTTCGAACTGCATCACCATGGCTGACAACCGACGACGCGTGCCAACTCGAATATCTACAATCAACAAAGTCGCACACAAACAACGGCCAAATTATGAACTCCTGTCCTGTACAACGGTGAACTTACGGACGATTCGGTCCGGTAAATACTGAAACCTCCTTTCCTGTTCGACCTGTGTCCGATGAGACAAACTCGAACCCTTCAGAAATGTAATGGGCGCGTCCGCCGCCCCATTAACCAAAATGGCACCACAATGTGTGGCTACGGGTGCTTTGTCGGAGCCTTGTCGAACTATACCATCGAGCATGGTCTGGAGGACACCCGTGCGGAAGTAAGCATACACATAATCATCACCACACAGCGGGAGAAGGCATACGCGTAGGCACACGCACGCGAACGTAGAAATGCGAATACAATGTCGCAGCGCATCGAGCTAGCCAAGTTGCAGTCCAGGAGGCCGTGTGGTCCAATGCAGCCGAGCGAAGGGACCACACGTGCGATAGATCTCGAAAAGGCCAGGCCGGTCAGAGGTCCCACCTTGGATAAGACATTCCTTCGTTTGGGTGTGCGGGTCGGAATTACAACCGTCATTCAATTTTGCCTACCGTGTTAGCAGACGGCAGTGAATCTAAAGTTTCGAAATGGGGGGAGTCTCGGGGGAGGTCGCACGATCTAAGACCAGGGCCTCCACGGCCTCATTGCTGAGCGCCTCGAGCTCTTCGAAGGCCTGCAAGACGTGATTCGCCGCGCCCACGCTGCCCAGCCGCTGCGCAGGCACGCCCCTTGCAGCAGCTTTTGTGAACTTGCGAACAAAGATGGCGAAACGCTGCCGTGGCAGACGCCCCCAGGGCTGGGCTCACGACGGGAGCAGAAAATCCCACCAGCCCTTGGGGCGGAGGTGGTTTAGAGAGCCCGTTCTGTTCCACTCCCTTCTTGGAGGGGGGGGGCCGCGGGTGGTTGGAGCGTCTGTTTTGGCCTAAGATGGCGCCTAGATAGCCCGAGAGAGCTCAAGATGACCTCCAAGATCGCTCAAGATAGCCCTCGATGACTCAAGGTAGCTCCTAACAAGCCTACTCGAACGAGGCGCCAAGACCGCCCCCAAAAATGGCCACAGAGCCTCCCAAGGACGCCCCCGAGAGGCCAACATCCTTCAACAACTTAGTGCAAATCAATGGTTTCTGCCTTCTCGCCTTTTCGCTTTCAAGTGGCTCATGAGGCTTCAAGATGACCCCAGGATGGCCCAAGCGAGCCCCACAACAGGCCCCAGAGAGGCCCAAGACGAGCCCAAGAGCGCCCCAAAAGGGGCCCAAGAAGGCCCCCAGAGGCGACTTGTCGGGTTCCGAAGGGGGGGGCGTAATCCCACCAGCCCTTTGGGCGTGAGTGATTTAGCGAGCCCGCTCTGTTCTCAACCCCCTTCTTCCCCTTCGGGGAGGGGTTTACCCCTCCCCCTCCCCCCTCCCCCTGGGCCTGGAGAGGTCCTTTCGCGGGTGGTTGGAGGGGTCTTTTTCGACTCCTGGGAGGGCTAAAATTCGACACCCCTCACGAGGATTCTGGCCCCGACGGGCGGAGGCAGAAAAGTGCTTGCCCCAGCTGTGATCGATCGCCCGAAAGATGGCCCCAAGATACCTCCCAGACCCCTCCCAAAGAGCCCCAAGAGGCCCCAAGAGGCCTCCAAGAGGCCCCCAAGATGCCCCCAAGAGGCCCCCAAGAGGCCCAAAGAGGCTCCCCCGAGGCACCCAAGACGCTCCTGGAAGCCCCTGGGGCCGCCAAGAGGCCCCCAAGACGCCCCAAACGGCATCCAAGAGGCTCCCAAGAGGCCCGAAGAGGCTCCCCCAAGGCACCCAAGACGCTCCTAGAAGCCCCTGGGGCCGCCAAGCGAGGGACGAGGGGCCCGAACGACTCACACCACGAAGAGCCCGAACGACTCACACCAGAAGGAGGGGCCCCAACGACTCACACCAGGACGAGGCGCCCGAACGACTCACACCACGAGGAGCCCGAACGACTCACACCACGACGAAGGCCCCGAACGACTCACACCACGAGGAGCCCGAACGAGTCACACCAGGAGGAGGGGCCCGAACGACTCACACCAGGACGAGGGGCCCGAACAACTCACACCACGAGAAGCCCGAACGACTCACACCAGGACGAAGAGCCCGAACGACTCACACCACGAAGAGCCCGAACGACTCACACCAGGAAGAAGGGCCCGAACGACTCACACCAGGACGAGAAACCCCAAACGACTCAAACCACGAGGAGCGCTTTCTCTCCCTCCTCCTCCGCCTCGTCCTTCTCCCGCTCCCGCCACAAGGAGGATGTACAAGGAGGCGGGAAGAAAGAGGAACAAAGAAGATATGCGGGGGCAAACGGAAACACGCCTGAAAAACACGACTGTCGGCATGCTTCGCAAGAGTTGCTGTTTTGAGATGGGCTGGTGGGGATACGCGAAGCGTGAAGAATTGACGCCGCGCTCCTTTTTCAGCCATGGCCTCCGAGATGGTCCCAAGAGACCCCCCAGACCCTCCCAAAGAGCCCCGAGAGGGCCCCAAGATCCCCCAACAGAGCCCCAAGGGTGCCCCAAGAGGCACCACGAGGACCCCAAAAGGGCCCACAGACCTGCAACATAGCCCCCCCCACAGCGACAAACCCAGAAACGCCTTCATGGCTGACTTGACCGTCGTCGTCGTCGTCTTCGTTGTCGTCGTCGTCGACGTCGTCGTCGTCGTCGTCGTCGTCGTCGTCGTCATCCTCGTCGTCGTTGTCATCGTCGTCGGGTGCGTCGTCGTTATCCTGGTCATCGCTTTCGTCCTCCTCGTCGTCGCTATCCTCATCTCTCCGCACACCGCCTTCTTTTCCTCCTGCTCCGCCTCGTCTTCCTCCCACTGCCACCACAAGGCTATAGAAGGTAGGTCGGAGGTGGGCGGAAGGAGGAGATATGCGAGAGCAAGAGCAGAAACGCAAGAAAAATCACGACCGTCGGTGTGCGTCGCAAGAAATGCTGCTTTGGGATGAGATGGCTGGGGTTGCGCGAAGCGTGAACAAGTATACACATGAGAACCAATGGCCCGAACATTATCGGAACCTCTGTTTCTTCCATTTGTCCATCCAGAACACACCACCATTATCCGTCAGCCGTTTGATGGGACCACCAGCTTGTGAATGCCAAGGTTCTTAGCCAAGCGAATAAGCAAGTGCATGTGACCGCATCCTCACTATTGGCCCAAACCCTCGTAGAATGTAGATGCACACAATTCTTTGCAAGGTCGTCGCCGTGTCTACGGCTGATGTATTCAAGGGTGAAGAGGTCTGATGTAGTTAGTTGATCGGATGGGGGGTCCTATCGTTGCTGGACGTGCGCCCCGCCTGGCGACAAACTTCGATTTCAGCACCCCCTGATCATGTAAACCTGAGCCGCAAGCTGCCCAAGGGAATGTCGACTGCAAAGCTTGGTGTCATAGATGCCGCACGCGGGTAAACATGCAAACTTTCGCGTCGTGGAGGGACCCCAAGCCAATAAGACATGATCAATCCATGAAACTTCGCAGCCCGGGGGCTAAACAAATATAGAAGCACGCTGGTCGGTCCTCATAAAATCCCTTCTTCCCCTTCGGGGAAACATTATCATTGCCCGTTAATCATATACACCCCCTCCTCCCACCCGGCCAGCGACAAACCACGGATAATGCTATCTTCCCCCCAGCCATCCTTGTCACAAAAAATGCCAAGTGCACTTTGCGGCAAAATCTTGGTCATACCTGGGGGCCTCGCAAACACTTTGCATCGTTTTTCGTCAGGGACAGTGGGGGGGGGGCCAGCATATGGCCTGCTGTGCGCAGGGCCACCATCACCTGCCAACAAAAACAAAACGAACTACACTTCGCGGCTCAACCTGGGCTATGCGCGGGCACCCCGCGATCACTTCGCAATGGTTTTTGACAGGGACGGATGAGGAGGGGGGGGGGCTGGCATATTGCCTGCTGTGTGCAGGCCCACCAGACATCATGATGGCCACTCCGCTGCGATTATGCATTGGCTTCCGAAAAGACTGGTGGGGGCCGACGTGGCGCACCTCGTCCCGGCGTCGCGCGCCTGGGGCTGGTATTGGTTCCCAAGAGCTACCCATCCAAAGACGGCTGCTGACTAGCTTAGACTCGGGTGCTACTTGAGTGTCGGGCGGGTGGGAGTGAGCCACACAGTTTGCGTCTGGGAAGGGTGGCTTGATCACTGTTCCCTATTCATATACACCCCCTCCCCCAGGCGACAGGCAGCCAACCAGGAACCACGAGGGCATCATGCGGACCTCCCCCACCATCCCTGTCAACAAAACAATACAACACGCACTCTGCCTCCACATCTGGAGCATGCGCGGCCCACCCGATACGCCCCCCACCATTCCTGTCAAAACAACGATACAACATACACTTTGGGGCGAAGTCTTGAATCATGTTCGTGAGGCCCGCAAGCACTTTATATTTTTTGACAGGGACGGCGGGGATGTCAGCATAGTGCCTGCTGTGCGCTGGGCTACCATCCCTGACACAAACACAATACAAAATGCACCTCGCGGCTAGATCTGGATCATGCGCGGCAGCCCCGCGGTCACTGTCAAGTGGTATTTGATAGGGACGGCGGGGGTGGTGGCGTATGGCCTGCTGTGCGCAGGCCCACCAAACACAATGATGGGCATTGGTTTTCGACAAATGTGGTGGGGTCCGACATGTTTCTCGATGTGTGCTGTCACGTGCGCAGGCGCACCTGACACCCTCCACACGTGCCCCGAACGTGGCGCACCTGGCGCGGATGGCGTATGCGGCACACCTGGCGCACGCGGAGCACGTGGCGCATCTGGCGCAGCAGGCGTGCATGTCACGCTCGGGCCCCAGGGGTGCTTGGCGCGCGTGGCGCGCCTGCCACGCGTGGCGCACCTCGCGCCACCGTCGCGCACAAGGGGTCGGTTTTGGTTCCCAGTAGCTGTCCATCCAAAGACGACGACCGCTGAACATGCTCAGGCTCGGATGTTACTTGATGCGTTGGGAAGGTGGGTAGGAGTGAGCTAGACGGCTTGCTATATAGGAAAATGCCTTGACCCCTTCCCGTACCCCCTCCCAAGGGTCCGGGCGGGGGGTGGGTGGGTGCGCGACAGGTCAGAAGTTGCTTCTTCGCTCAAGATGGCTCCAAGAAGGCCTCCGGAGCTCCCATATGGCCTCCAAGATGGTTCAAGATGGCATCCATCATGTTTCCAAGAAATCCAAAAAGATCTATAAGATAGTTCCAAATGCTCTCGTGTTCGAGTTTGAATTTAGTCGGTCACACGGGACGGAAGCGACTCGCCAAAGACGTCTTCGATGCAACAAGCAAAAAACGCGGAAGTGTGCCTGGATCGATACGAGGCGAGGGTCGGTCTTGCCGCGCGGAAGGGATGGAGGCATTGAAAACAACGTTTGAAGAAACGCGGTCGAGAGACCTACGCTGCTGCCATTTCCTTGGCGGATCATCGTTCTAGACCAGAACTCCCGAAACGTCTTAGTCGGCACGTTGTGGAACGACTGATGGCGCATCTACTTCGTGTGGGAGAGGTCGAGGTCACAGGAAATCAGCGCGGCAAGCTGCAATCGGGTGCCCACACGCGTAACGCGACAAGGACCAAGGCAACAAAAAACGGTGGCGCTGGAACGCCTCCATTGATGAATGTGCCATGTTTAAGCCGCTACTCCCGGGCTGTACTTTCTTGCGCTGGACCTCCTGCAGCACATGCAAAAAAAGAAGCACCTGGACTCGTACTCGCGCTCGTAGATCGAGATGAGCAGCCTCGGTGCACCCTCGCAATGTATCTTGGGTCTGGCCAGTGGATGCGATATGCACAATAACACCTGCTGTCTGCCCGTACGTTCTGACTCCCTCACGGGATAAAACTCGAATAAGCCGTTGGCCTCCTGACCCACCGTTAAAATGATCGGATGCTTAGCTGCTAAAGCGTGTTCGCGATCCTCCCCGTGCACCGCCTCCCCAGCCACCCTACCGACTTCAAACACGAGCGTTTCGGCTGGGGTGGGTTGGAGATACCTTCGATGATCCGTCTGCTGTCCTGCTGGTATGCTTGGAACTGCAACATACGTTAACTTTATCGCAATTTTGCTGCTAACATGCCGACGACACATGACCGCGAACAACACGCAAAACATGTCCGCAAACAGCTTCATGATGTGTCGGCCTGGATGAACAAAACAAGCTTTGGCACTTAGGATGGGTCAGAACCCGATTGCGAAAGCATCCCACAACTGATAATTGTTTCGTCCTTGTCGGCACTCCACTTGCAATCCGAAGCTACGCGGGTGCACATCATGTGCGCGCATGTGCGGCAGATCTACATCTGTATACACATAGGTATGAATGCATGTATGTATGTACGCATGTATGTATGCATGCATGCATGTATGTAGTTGTATATATTGGTAGGTATTTGTATGTGTATGTGCATGTGTATGTATATGTATATTTGTACATGATGTATGTGTATGGGGTTGCATGTTCCTCAACCAGTGCTTGTAATTACAAGTTCTTACTTGCGTTGCTTAATAAATAGCTGGGGCGGGTCGGCCGACGATTTTCCGAATGACCGCCCCGTGCCGCCTCGTGGGCGTCCCGTGCGCTGGGTGGGTCGGCCGAAGTTACGCCACGTTGCCGCCCGTGCCGCCTCGTGGGCGCTCGTGTGCGCCCCGTGCGCTGGGTCGGTTGGCCGAGGTTGCGCCACGTTGCCGCTCGTGCCGCCTCGTGCGCGCCCCGTGCGTTGTGCTTACACCACCTAGCTTACCCCAACCGGCTTACACGACATTGCTTCAACCACACAGCTCACACTACATACCCTGCACTAGATATATCGCACCGCATCGCTTACCCGCGTGGCTTCCACCTCCAACTCGCGCTACATCGATGACACAAGCAGCTTGCAAGAATTTTTTTTTTTTTGTAAAAAATAATCAGATTCACCCCCTCCCGAGCCTGGGCCTAACCGCTCACCTTTTGGTATGGCACCTTGCATGCGGTTCTGCCTCATCACTCGTGTTCCATATGTCGTACCATCCCAACTCAACCAGTACTGCGCCCCTTCACCCTGTCAAGTGACAATATGCGCGCGCGTTTATTTCTAGCATTTTCTTTCCAATAATCCTTTGCGCCTCTCGCATGCTCGCATGCCGAACTCGTGCCAAACATACGCATTTTGCATATACACATGAAGCGTTTTTTGTTACAATATCGCGCACTTGCTGCAATTATGGGGTAATCATAATGTTTTGACAGAGCCGTCCAGAATCCGCATTATTATCCCACCACGTGGTACATCGGTGTTGACGTAGCATGCGCCCAGTGCACAAATCCGTATCAAATACTACCGTGCGGGCCACATGCAGCCGCATAAACGCGCTAGCACATTCCACTCGGGAACCGCAATCATGGCCGAGTGGGGTTTGCCAAACAAGTTGCGGGTTGGAAAGTGGGATGTTTGCGCGAGCGTCGGGGTTGACGACGTCAAAACGGTCGAAATTACACCGCATAGTTTTAACATCAATAACTCACACTACATAGCTGACATCGCGTAGCTTGCAATGCACAATTTCCACCTCCACAATGCTATAACTCACTGTTCGGGGTCCCCGTTGGCTATCGTATACAAATATACATATATCTGTACCAAACTCATCTCTCGGGTTCTGGTCCTAGCGCCGGCCAGGGGAACGTGGCAGCACATGCGGCTTCATCCTTAGATCGAACCAGGCAGGCCCGAACCGAATATTCGGCGGTGAGGGGGACGTATAAGAATGGCAAGCCGAGTGTTCTCTTGTGGCTAATTGTTCTTCCTCATCCTCTCCATCTTCATTTTTTTCCAGGTTCTAACTTTCGTTCACTTGTTTCTGATGTACAACTCGTGGGGCGTTTTCTACAACTTCGACGTCCACGGGGGCGTTCGCGGCCTCGGGGGCATCCTGCAACATACGATCTGCAGCGAAACACCAGTCGAGTGCACGGAGTCGGGAGCTCCAAGGGCCCACACAGCAGAAAATTCGCGATGCGAGAGGTGCGGGGATCACGTCCCCCGCACCCGGAAGGAGAGACACCAAAGCCGCCCCAATCATAGGCCTTTCTGGCTGCTCCCCTCCACCACCTTCTGCTGCTGGTGGGTCGGGGAACTCATTGGCAGCAGGAGGATGAAACAAAACATTGGCCGCTCGGCGTGCCACCACGATGGTCTGTCGTTGAGGGACAGCCGTAAGCCAGAAACTCACCCCCGCCCGAGGACAGAGGAGGACAGAGGAGTATGGTGGGCAGTGGTAGATCCAGCCGACTCTCCAATCGCGAGAAATTTAGGAAATGAAAGCTTCAATCCCACCGGCTCCCCCTTTTGCAGGGGCTTCCGAACCAGATAATCAGACCTTCCTCTCCTGCTGCTCTCTCTCTCTCTCTCTCCTCTTTTCCCTCCGCGTGGAACATCGGAAGGCGAACGGAAACCTCCTGCTTCTGGGGGTCTGTCATGGCCGTCTTGGGAACCTCCTTGGCAGATCGTGGCCCTGTCTCGGGTCTCTGGGTGCCGTTTCGGAAGCCTCTCAGGCCACCGCCGACCGCTTCTGGCTGTTGGGAGCCTCCACAAATCATGGAGGGGCCGTCTCGGGGGTCTTTCGAAACCCTTTCGTGTCCGTCCGGCGGGTGGCGGGGCAGATGCAGCAATTAGAACGCAAGAAACATACTTCCAAGACAATCTTATGGAAACGTCCAGTGCCAGACTTACCGCTATGACCTTCGAAGCGATCTCGAACAAACATTTGGAGGCCATTCGAAAAAAACATCCGTGCCATTGAGCAGCACGGCGTTTCACAAGAAGATCTGCACCTAGCGGTGGACCTACTGCGTAAAGAAGTCGAGGGATTGCAGGACACTGTGACTAATGATATCGAAACTTCTAAATACGCGCTTCCAACACGGAGAACACCATCAACGAGATGAGACAGGACATGAAGAACCTACACATTACTCCGAGATCGGTGGGCGGGTCGCAACCAAAATATCAGAGCCATGCTGGGAACTCCGCAGGCGATAAAAGATGCATTGCAGCTGTGGTGGGTAATTTGGAAAGTTTTGCCTCTTTCGACACGGCTTCCGCCTGGTTGAAGCGTGAGGCTGAGCGATTACAAGCACCAACATGGAAAAACATGTACTAGGAAGGAGAGTTCCGGAACATTGCATTCTGCGAGTTTGGCAGCACCGAGGACAGGGACACTGCAATGGCGCAACTACGCTGTGCCAAGCTGACGCGGAATGGGAACACGGTTTGGGCCACGCCAGACCGTCCACCATTAGTATGGACAGCCCACAATTTCTGCTATGGCTTCAAGTACTCCCTAAAGCACGATACGGGCATGGATTTTACGATAAAGGTTGCTGATCATAATCCCTTCTCAATTGAAGTTGGTGGGGAGCTTGCTGTTACGGTCACACTGGATGGGGATATTCTCGCACTGCATTGGTCCAAGAATTGGAACACATGGCATGAACTGCACTCACACCCGAAGTTCAAAAAGCTCGTCCAAACAAGTGAGGGCATAGTAATAAGGAGCGCTCAGGACATGAAAGGAGGAGCGAAAGGCTCATCCAAATGTGCTGGCAAATAAGAAATAGGGCAAGCACTGGAAAAGCGTACCACTACAAATTCTTCTGCCGCCAGTGCTGGAGCCTCGGCAAACATGCAATACACTAATTTTGGAGCACATTATGCTCCAGGCAAAACCATTGTAATATCTAAAGATTGTCCGCTTCGTGTACGCTCTTCCGCATTACAAGGATATCGTGCTCCAGTGTTGGGCAAAGATACTATAGCTGACGCACGTATTTCGTCATCTTCTATACCTTTGTCTTCATCTTCCATTCCGCCAATCTTTCCCACATCATCTTCTCTACCACCCTGGAATTCGAATCCTGGTGCGCCCTCTCCTACGTCCTCGATGTCATCACCCCGCTTTGGGAGACATGCCGGCGTGGGCGAATATACCAACATGAGCCTTCCACGCACCTCTCCTCCCCTTCTTCAAAACTATACCGAATGGAACACGCAGAGATGCTTGTGCACTCCATGCCACATCAACCGCATCTGCACCTTGAATGTCGAAGGCCTCCGAGGTGACTGAATCATCAAACTCGCCGAGCTTATCCAGTGCATGATTAATCTCTACATAGACGTCTTCTGCTTTCACAAGACGCACCTGCACGGGGCGGAGTACTACATGAAATACGATATCAAGATCTTTTAAACTGGCAGCTTGGATGCGGACAATCCACACCTTCGCAGGCGTTGGCTTGCTAGTGACCCCCAAAATCCTCAAGTCTATTGTCGCGTTCAAGGCCTGCTCAGATAGGTTGAATATAAAGGTCAGGGGAGGGCTGCTGACATTGATTACCACATATGCCCTCCAGAGCGGCCTGGACTACGAGATGCGCCAAGCCTTCCACTACGAGTTACAAAACCTCATTCGGGCTACGACTGCGCACAATACGACCTGGCCTTCAGGGACTTCGACGCGCAACTTCGGCGACAAGAACCGGGAGACAATGACGTGATAGGGTCTCATGTGTTCACAACCTCCCGGGGGAACCCTAATCGCGATGAGCATTGCGATCGTACTGCCAATGCAGTCTCTAACCAGCAGCTGCTTTTGGAGAGTTGCGTGGGCTATGACCTCGTCATTGCGAATACATGCTTTGACCACCCCGACTCGATGAAAGTCACGTGCGGGAGCTTGGGAGTCAATCCAATGGACAAC